TACTTTATTCAAGTTTGTTTACGTTTTTGTTGTTTTCCGTTGTTTTGTTTGTTTGTTTGTTTGTTTATATCTTGTTGATACTTTTTATGCTACTTCTTCCACTTTAATATTTATATATATATATATATATTTGGTTGGCATTGAGAGCAAAACAAACAGAAATAGTTTAACAAACAACGACAAAAACACAACAAACAAACAAACAAACAAACAAACAAGCAAACAATCAAACAAACAAACGAACAACAAAACAGACCTCTATTCCACCTCGGCATGCGGACCATGCAGCGATACGAAGTAACGGAGTTCCTTCAAATCGACGATACGACACTCTCCAACTGGCTACAACTCATGGAGGCCAACTACCACCAGAACAACCCCTACCACAACTCCACCCACGCCGCTGACGTCATGCACGCCACGTCATACTTCCTGTCATGTGATCAAGTCAAGGTTGTCGTCCATTTTGTTGTTGTTGTTGGTGGTGTTGGTTCAGTTTTTAGTAACATATTATATTTGGCGATTTGTTTATATAGTGCATGCAATGCCTTTTTAAATATTTCTATTTAGATAATTTTCAATTATCAAAATTGACAATTTTTTGAACTTTCTTTCAATTAGCTATCAATATGACAATCGAATGTTTAAATAATCAAACAAAACTATACAAACACTTGACCAATGAATCAACCAGCCAATCAACGAATCAACCGACCGATCATTCCACCAACCAACCAACTAACCAACCGACCAATCAACCAACCTACCAATCAACCGACCGAACAACCAATCAACTGATCGACCAACCAATCAACCAATCCACCAACCAACCAACCAATCAATCCACCAACCAATCAAACAACCAATCAACCGACCGACCAACCAATCAACCAACCAACCAATCAACCGACCGACCGACCAACCAACCAATCAACCAACCGACCAACCAATCAACCAACCAATCAATCGACCAACCGACCGACCAACCGACCGACCAACCACACGCGCAGACTATCTTCGACCACATAGATGAGGTGGCCTGCCTGATCGCAGCTGCCATTCACGATCTAGACCACCCTGGCAAGACGAACTCATACCTCGTGAATTCCAATGCAGAGCTCGCCTTCCTCTATAATGATCTGTTAGTTTGGTGAATGAATGAATGAATGAATGGATGAATGAATGAATGAATGAATGAATGAATGGATGGATAGATGAATGAATGAATGAATGAATGAATGAATTAATGAATAAATGAATGAATGAATGAATAAATGAATGGATGGATGGATGGATAGATGAATGAATGAATGGATGGATGAATTAATAAAAGGGGATGAATGAATGGATGGATGGATAGATGAATGAATGAATTAATAAATGAATGGATGAATAAATGAGGGGATGGATGAATGGATGAATGGATGGATTGATAGATGAATGAATGAATTAATAAATGAATGAATGAATATATGAGGGGGTGGATGAATGGATAGATGGATAGATGAATGAATGAATTAATAAATGAATGAATGAATATATGAGGAAATAAATTGGTCTTCAAATTGAATTGATTGATTGATTGACCAATGGATTTCAATGTTCATTCATTGCTTAATAACAAAATTGAATAATTTGTTGTTAAGTACAAAAAGTAAGTAGAAACAAACAACCTAATACACACGCACACCTACAAATACGGACACACACACACACACA